TGGTTAAGGTCTGATAATATAAATGTTTTGGATTTCATAATTTCCTATCTGGAACTTGCTTATTAAAACGCTGCTGGTAGCGCAGCTTGGCGAGACACTGCTCCAAAAATCTTATGGAAGAAACACAAACATAAAGACTGGTTAGATTCTGATGATATAAATATGTTGGATTTAACAATTTCCTACCTGGAACTTGCTTATAACACCGCTGTTGGTAGCGCCGCTGATGAGACACTGCCCCAATAAACAACTGTAGCCAGCTCTAAAACTTAAAAGGTGCTGTTCTAAAAACCTTTTGTGAGAAAAATACATTAGTTTGGTGAATGCATTTAGTTTGCGAAACTTACCTGGAATTATCTTGAATAAATCGCTGCTTTTTGCGGGATAATAGCTCAACCTACTTGAAGAAATATATAAACAACAACTTGAAGAAATATACAAACAAACAAATTTCATCAATATGCACATATATATGTATATATTTTAGCAAAAATTTACTTACAAAATCACAATTATTGCAAACTATCGCTCAGATTTTCCAATAAATTTGAAACGAAAAGTCAGAGAAAAGGAGACTCAAAGAAATAGTGATACCTACGCTTACTTTTTTCACAAGATTGTTGTCTGCTACATTTTTTGTTCTATTTTGCCCAGAAAGGAAATTGGAATAAATAGAGTAGGCATTATTGTAACGCTGGTATGCCGAAATTGCCAAAACTACAACAACCACCCCCTAAGTGACAACACCTTATTATTATTTCACCATGAAGCGATCTATTGTTTCGAAACAGCGTGAAGAAATCAAGCCATCTGCTTTCCTATCCGGCTGGCCGTCTGATCGGTTCTTGCCTGCCGTCTCCCATCTTGCATCTCCCACCCGCCGCTGCCTAACTATCGTACTAATTTGAGTATCGCTGCTTTTTCTGGTCTATTGGCTCACCGAACTTGATTGTGAAAAGAGCATATAAAATCAGTGTGCCTTTGCATTTGGTTTTGTACAAAAGAAGAAAAGAACTGGTGGCAACTGCGGCAGCAGCAAGAAGCCAAAAGTCGAAGAGCAGCAAGCGCATAAATCTAAAATTTAGTAGCAATTTTTCGTATTTGGTGCAAATCAAGTGACTGTCTAAATTAATGGAAAACATTTTTGCTTGGCCATACAATTTAATTTCGGCACAAATTAAATACCTGAAATTGCCAGCCACACGCGCACAATACGCCGAGTGACGAGTGAAGTGCAAATTTTTGAGGAGAAATAGAGCTCAATAGAGCTGCTTAATACTATTGAAGTGAAAGTGATAAACGCGTGAAATCGTGAAATCGTGAAAACTTTTCCAACAACCCCCGTAAAGGCAGTATTTCCGCTTGTGGTTCTTACGAAAAAACAAAAGTCTTCGAAAATGTTCTCTAAGAAGTCGTCGAATAATGTTTTGAGCTTGGTGATCCTGCTCTGCTTGGCCGTTCGCAATCATGGACGTGCACGTAAGGCAATTAATATAAAATAATAAATATAAGATTTTATTTAAATACAAAATACTTTTAAACTACACTGTGCAATACAAGAAAAGGGATCATGTTCTTGAAAAGTTGTCTGAGATAGGGCGTTTTCGAACTGGCTTCCGAGATAGGTCGATCTTCCACTCAGCCATCGATATGTTCTTCTTAAAAATAGTACAGTATCGTAGGGCCATATGAAGGTCTTTACAAAGTTTGCTATTTAAAACTCCAAAACTAGAAATCCCAAAAAGGTTGAGGTATCCATCGCAGATCGAGCTCTCTGGTGTACAGGGAGCCTATTCGGAAAAGGTTGTCCGAAGGTTTGGTATAATGATGGATAAAAACTTGAAAATGGAAAATCTGGGCTGGCTTATGTGGGCCGAACTTTAAAAAAATCGATACCAATCGGATGCTGCTCCACCATTTCTCAATCAGAGATTTATGCAATGTAAATATCCGGACGTTGTAAGCTGCGTGTTTAGGCGACTAATAACACCTAGTGCCTAAAGGTATGCTACACCCCAAGCAACTGGTACCAAACCGGATATAAAGCACGATTGTATATAAATACAAGCATGTGCAAAGCTTTAGGTGCAAACATTTCACATTTGCATTATGCATTTATGCATATGCACTTCTCAACTGCCGCAGAACAAAACCTACTAAAGCAGTTAATTGCTGGCACCCCAAGTCATGCTCAACACTCCCGTTTGATGCATCATAACTCCTCTGGAGTTGTCTCACGAGGCTCTGTATAGCTCTCCGCATACAGAGGTGGTACAAAACTCCCCGCGGACTTAAATAGTATACTTCCAATTAGGTGCACTGCGGAATTTCAGAAGATTCGAGTTAAACCAGTGCACACCGATGCTGGGTTCGAGTGGATTCTTTCAGCACTCATCAGTGCCCATAACCTATCAAGGGCGCGTTATAAAAATGCCCTATACAGCCCTATAAAATTATCCAGGAATGGACCGAACTTAGTTGGGAAGGTGGTTAGATGGAAGAGTTTAC